GCTGGCGTGGGAGAAGGTGTTCGGGATGTCGGCGCTTGCCGAGGCAGAGAGCTGGCAGGGGATGTAGGCGTTGGGCTCTGCGCTGTCGCTGACGGCGCTGATCACGAACGTGAAGATGAACACTGCGCGGCGGCAGAGCTGAACGGCGCTGGCCGTCGATTCCGTGGGCAGACGAGTCGCAGACGTCGTCGTGGAATATGTAAGGCCCGAAGGCCGGGGCAGCGAGCTTCGCTCCAAGCTGCCACTGTGATATGGAAGACCCGCAGGGTCGGATATCGCTGATATCGTTTTGTCGAATGATCGCGCGGCGAATCAATCTGCGCAGCTCTAAGGCCAGGGGCCCTAGTATAAATTTCGAACCGAAGCAGGCAGCGGGAAAAAGGGTGAGAGCAACAAGAGCAGGGACAGGAATGGATCGGGGAGTGAGCGGAAATCACAGACAGGACCGTCCAGCGGGCAACGAAAGAACGACAATCTCGTTGGCCAACATGCCTGCGTCTAGACTTGAGGCCGTGCAAGACTCGAAATGGATCCTGCCTTCCGCTCCCAGGTAGTTGCTGTCGCCGGGATGCCAGCGACGCTACCCTGTTGAGCTACCCAAAATCGCACCGAGGGCGCAACAGCATCCTAGCATAACATCAAGCTGGGTAACATGTTCACACATCACACGAGAGCAGAGCTTGGATGGACGACGCCGTTCTCCTGCTCAGATGTGATGGTCATCTTCGTTTGAATCTCCATCGGGTACTCAGAGCGAATGGCCCCCGAAGTGGCTCATCCTTGCGGGAGGAGCCTAGGCCCTCTCTGGTCCGTAAACGACCGCCCAAAGCACTGGATGATATGTCAACAAGTCGTAACGCCAGACAAACAAACCAAGTTCCGCACTGGCTGACTAAGCGTGCGCATGCAAACGTGGCGCTGCAGACGTGGACCAGCCCAAAACGTGCTGCAGAGGACCCTCACGCGGGCAGCGCAAGGGCGGCAACCACGTTGGCCAGCATGCCTGTGTCAAGAATTGTGGCCGCACGGAACTCGGCATGGATCCTGCCTTCCGCCCCGAGGTACTTGCTGTCGTCGGCATACCTGCGACCGCCACTTTGATGAGCTTCTCGAGATCGCATCAAGCGCGCAAACCCATCCTAACTTAGCCTTCGAGTTAACGACCTGTCCACTCATCACGCGAACGCGAAAGTTGGATGCACGACGCCCATCTCCTGCTCAGCATTCGATGGTGATCGTTTGAACCTTCATGGGGCAATCATAATGAATCGCTTCTGGCGTGGCTCAACGGTGCGGGAGAAACCATGGACATCTGGTATGGAAACGAACACCCGAGGCACTACATGATATGCCAGCAAGCCGTAATGCCAGACAGACACACACACACAGAGGTCCGCACTGGCTGGCTAAGAGTGCACATGCCACTGTGGCGTTGCAGAAATGAGCCACACCATGGTGTTCTGTAGAGTTCCTCAAGCGGGCAGCGCAAGAACGGCAGCCCCGTTGGCCAGCATGCGTGCTTATAGACTTGAAACCGCACGGAACTCAACATGGATCATGTCGTTCGCTCCGAAGTACCTGCTGCCGCATGCCTGCGACCGCATGTCGTTCGCATGCCGTTCGCATGCCTGCGACCGCGACTCGGATGAGCTTCCCAAAATCGCACCACGCGCGCATCACCAGCCTGGGGTAGACTCAAACTTACCGAAGTGTTCACCCACCAGACGAACACGGAGTTTGGATGCATGACGCCCCTCTCCTGCTCAGCATTCCATGGTGATATGTGCTTGAGCCCGCATAGAACACTCAGAGCAAACGGCTTCCGAAGTGCCTGCGCTGGTCTGGGCACGGGCGCCCGAAGCACTGCATGATGCGTCAGCAAGCCGCCGTAATCCGCCGATCCGGCGTGTGAGTTTGAAAGAGCGTGGGCTTGAGCTTCGCTCGAGCTCCGCTCTGTGTGTGTGTGTGGGGGGGGGGGGAAGGGTGCGATGTGCTCCGCTTTCCGCTCCGTCGCAACTCCGCTCTGTGTTTGGGGGGGGGCGATGCGCTCCGCTTTCCGCTCCGTCGCAGCTCCGCTCTGTGGGGGGGAGGGACGAAAGGGGAGGAAAGAAATGACAGGCTCTGACAGGCAGGGGGGAAAGAGAAGGAACGCACAGGACTGCTGCCAACAGCAGCGGGAAGCCCCCCGGATCGGCGGCACTGGCTGGAGGCCGACACAATACCAGAACGACAAGCAGAGCTCCGCCCTGGCTGACTGAGCGTGCATATGCCAGGGTCGCATTGCAGAAATGAGCCTAACAAGGGCATTCAGAAGATGGCCCTCAAGCGAGCAGCGCAAGGGCGGCAACACAATTGGCCAGCATGCCTGTGGCCCACGTCTGCACATGATCCTTCGTATTATTCTCGTCGGTCCCACTCCGTCCCCATGGTTTCGCCGCCCCCCGCTCCCAAACCTAAACCGCCCTAAGTGGCACCTACAACATCTGCATCTGGCACCTAGAACTCGTCCGTCTTTGGGCCAACTGGCCTCGACGTAGCGCGGCACTGAGCCGATGAAGACTCATCCTCCCCTGGAAGGACTACTCGACGAGAGTAGCCGCATAGTATTGTTGTATTGCTTCCGTGTCGTATTTGTGTCATTGGATCATCTCGGGGTCGACTCGGCGTCACGTGGTGCTTCTGGCTCCGTCTTAGCGCCACAAGAGCATTTATTGGGGTCATGTCCGGTTCGTATGGGCCACCTTGGGATCCATTTTCCCCGCTTCACTCACTCCGTCCCCCTCTGTGCGCCTCCGTCCGCTCCTCACTTCTCTTGCAACTGCCTCCTCGCACCATGTCTCTTTCTGTCTGCCTCCTCCTCCCTTTCCCCCATGGCTGCGCCCTCCGTCCATCCCCCTCTTCCCCGCCCCTGTCCGAACTCTCTCCCTCCCTCCCTCCCTCCCCACCCGTCCCCACACTCTCTCTCTCGCAGCCCTCCCAGGGCCCAGACGCACCAATGTTCGGAGCTCCGTCCAACCGTGGCGACGAGGGGGCCCACCAAAGGCCAACTACCGGTATCTGAACTCGCCCCCCTCGGAGACTCCAGAAGCCCCGCCGTTTTTGGACGGTCCTAGAGCTCGTGGAGGGCCCCGAAAAAGGAGAAAGGCCTCGACACCCGCTTCCCTCAGGACAGCTTCCTTCATGGCGACCGCCCACATCGATACCCAACCCTCGGAGCAAGGCGAGTTGAGACAACGGCGGCTCCAAATCGGCCCCTGGACCCATCCCAGGGTCCAGACGCACCAGTTGTCCGAGCTTTCTCCCGCCGTGGCGGCCTCAAGAACATGAGGTCCTCCGTCGGCCACAACAGACAGAACATCCAAGAGTGCCTCCCCAGGATGCACAGGAGCATCCAACAACACACGAAGACCACTAGTGTACCTTCCCCGAACCAACCTGGATCTGATACCTCGGTCCGACTGTCTCAACTCTCTGCACTCAGACTCCCCATCTACCCTGAGCTTCGACATGTCGGAAAAGTAGCAACCCCGCGAACAGAACACGACCAAAGCCCAGGACCCCCTCTCTCTCTCTCTCTGCGGCACTTCTTTCGAGCCGGAGCGAGGCGTGATGGCCTCGCGGGATCTCGAAACGCATGACGAAAAAACGTCCGCTGCGAAAACACCCTGCAACGCCTGGATCTCGAGGAAACCCGTTGTGTAAAAACCCTGCGACGCACGGATGTCGAGGGAGCCTTAGGTCGGGCATGTCCTCCTACAGGCGGACCCTGGAAGAATAATACACAACAATCTGCGAATAATCAAGAATAACCAAAAGAGCACAAACAATCGTCACCAGACTATGTTCTCCTATTCTTGGATATTCCTCCTATAGAACGACGTGCCCTACTCAAAGGAAGCCCTAATTACCCGAGGGAAGATGATCCTGATCCTGGTGATGGTGGTAACATTCGGGCTGCGCAGGTGGCCGAAATAATACCACCAGCACCGAAATGTAGGGTAATCTTCCACCGGTGGAGGCAAACCCCTGTGTTGGGGTTGGTACCCATCCCCAGGCTTCCAAGCTGTGAAAACACCCTGCAACGCCCGGATCTCGAGCGAGCCCATTGTGAAAAAACCCTGCGACGAACGGATCTCGAGGGAGCGTTGCCTCCAAGCTGTGAAAACACACTCAAACGCCCAGATCTCGAGGAAACCCGTTGTGAAAAAACCCTGCGACGCTCGGATGTCAAGGGAGCTTTAGGTCGGACATGTCCTCCTACAGGCGGATTCTGGAAGGAATAAAGAATCAACAAATAGTCAAAAATAGCCAGAAGAGCACGAAACATAGTCACCATAGTATTTGTTCCTATTCTTGGATATTCCTCCTGACTACCTACCAGACCACCCCACCTTAACCCGAAGACCAGAATTTCGGGTAGGGGGGGGGTACGGGCTTCTTATCCCAACTGCAAATTGAAGGCCAATCGGGGCCTTCGTGTTGGGTTGGGGTGGTTTGGTGGGCGGTGACCTCCTGTAGTGGGATATGCCCTAGTTAAAGGAAGCCCTACCCGAGGGAAGATGATCCTGATCTTGGTGATGGTGGTAATATTCGGCCTGCCTAGGTGGCCGAAATATCACCACAAACACCGAAATCTAGGGTAATGTTCGCGCGGTGGAGGCAAACCCCTGTGTTGGTGTTGGTGCCCATTCTCAAGCCTCCAAGCTGTGAAAACACCCTGCAACGCCCCGATCTCAAGGAACAAACCCTGCGACGAACAGATCTCGAGGGAGCCTTGGGTCGGGCATGTCCTCCAACAGGCGGCTTCTGCAAGAAAGCAAAAAAGCTGTATAATAATCAAAAAACGATCAAAAGAGCACAACAAATCGTCACCATCTGTTTTTGAATGTTCCTCCTGTAGAGAGACATGCCCGACGACGACGACGGTGACGGCGACGACGACGATGACGACGCCGCACGGATCTCAAGGAAGCCCCAGGGCATCGCCCCGCGGGCCCCTCCTGGACGACGGCGTCCGTTGGGTTGATGGCCCCGGCCACGGCGGACGCGTCTGCGGCCACGGCGGCCGCCGCCTGCGCGTGGGCGCCGCCGGCGCCCCCCGCGACCTGCGCGGGAGGGGGTGTCCGGCCCCCCCGGTTTTCAGGTGGGCACCACGTAGCACAAAGAACTGGCGACCTCAACAATGGCAAGAGCGGAACTTCTGACTGGCAGCGCCAGGTGAGTACAGTCGACCCGTATCGGAAGGACGCACGATAACGATGCAAGGGGCTTGGAAAGCCGTTCCGAAGTTTTCCGAGCGGGGCGCGGCCAGCAAAAGCGGCCAAAGATGGGTCGAGGAGGCTAGGATGAGAGGGCACCCTTGAGAAACTTGCCCATCATTGCTATGCGGGTTTACTGTACCGGTCACGACAAGGTCGATGGCAAGGACCAGATTGGTTTTTGTCAAGGCTCGAGAAGATTCTCCGAGCGCTGCAGGGTCGACACTTCATATATGGGCCGCGCACCACGGCAAGGCAGATGTGTGAGCCACGAGCCCAAGTACGGCTGAGGTGGCCATGAAGATGTCGAAGGCTACAAAACTTGCTCCGCCGAACAATCGTAGGACAAAACGTATGGCTATCAGAGAGAGGGGCCAAATAACGATGCTAACAACAATGTTGGCAATCATCATCAAGGTTCTGGGTTCGACTTTCCTCATCAGTCGGATTCCGACCCGGGTCCCAAAACTTGCCCAGTATCAATGCCGAAATGGCCAGTAGTAGAGCCAGGGCGCACATGAGACGGTAGTTGACGACCGTTCTGGGCACGCGGTTGTGCATGGGCTTGGAGTGCACAGGCGCAGAACCCCTGATCCGTAGGTAGAGGAATGGAGGGAAAGATGGGGATATTTTCCTCCTGTGCGATCAACAATCTGATCGATGCCAATACCTGAGCCCAAACGGCCAGGAGACAGGAGAGTAAGGAATATATATATATATATATATATATATATATATATATATGAAGGTACTACACGGGTCCATTTCGCACCCCCCGCCCCGAATCCCGCCCGCAAGGGCAGGGCCCGGGAAAAGGAGGAAAGAACCCGTAACCCTTGTATGCCTTATCAATCGCAAGCAGCTGGGCGGAAAAGTCTGCATCGCCTCAGCTGCGTCCCGACCGCAATAGCAGCGTGCAAAAGTATGTAGCACATCAGCTGGTATGATCGGGCAAGGAAAGGACGACGGAGCACCCAGGGCCCCTCTTTCTTCTCCAAGCACGCTTTAGCGCCCCCTCGGCGCGCCCCCAAAAAAACGCTTCGGCACTCGAGGGCGGAGAGAATGGGACACGGGAGAGCGGAGCAAGAGGATCTGAGCAATCTAGAACAACATCAGAAACTGCTGCGTCAAAGACGCAGCAGGTGTTGCCACCAGCAGTATAACACAAGCTGGGTATCATATCATTATCAACGCATGCTCGTCCTCAAAATATGCGATCGCACAGAGGATGTAAACAATCAAGGTAAAGCGAAGTCGTGTTGGCAAACACGAAAAGTTGCATAAACAAATGCTGCATTGGGTTGCTCCCCTCAGCAACACAAGACGCATATAATGGGGCCACTTATCATGTAGAGCGAAGTGGCCAAAGCTTGTATGCGCGTTTGTTGCTTGAGGCGAACTTCTCAAATATGAAGTTCAAGCGTGCTCGAGCAGTGGGCCTCGCGGCCAACATATCTAGGTGCTGCCTCCCATGTAGAACTCACTGGCCCACGCGCGGTGGCCGTCGATTTCAATGAAACTGGTCGTGTGCGTTGCCCAATGCGCCCTTGGGGTCCAGTTGCAGATGCGCTGATGGTGCTGCAGATCGCGGATGTAGACGAACTCGTCGTTGTTCCCCGCGATGTACACCCAGCACTTGCCGTAGTAGCTCCAATGCCTTGGGCCCAACTTACTGACCTCAAGGTGCTGGCGCCTCCGCGCCGCGTAATCAGCGGCTGTAAGCGCCCGCTTGGCACGCGGGGGCGTCGCAGGCCTGCGGCTTCCATCGCTGGCGTCGGCTGACTGCCAGCCGCTCGGCCGCGGGGCGGAAGCTGCGCCGCTCCGCCCAGCAGGCGTCGCTGCCAGCGCGCCAGAGGCGCGGCCTCCAGCAGCTTCGCCGCGGGCAGCGCGAGGCGGCGGCGGAGGCGGCGGCGCCATGGCGGCATGTGTACTAGGTGAGTGTGTGGGGGCGATGTCAGGATCGGTTCTAACCCCTGAGCCCTTCCCCCCTTGCTCATTCGATCACAGGGCAGGTCCAACAGAGGCGAGTCTGGAAAGCTGACGCTGCGTGGTTTTGTCATAAGTGCCGTCCCCGCGGGGAACGGCAATCGTGACAAGACCGCGCTCCTGCCTGGTGCCTCTGTCCATCCTACCCTCGTTCAACCACCAATGCTTGCGACCAGCGAAGCCAAGCGCTTGGCTGCGGACATGAATGCCACAGGCCGTGTGCATGTCTTCGATGGTCCAAGGCACCTGACCGATGGCCTCACGGGCTCCTGTCATTTGGTGATGGAATCGGGAATCGTTGAGGTAACGTTGGATGACGTTGCGGAAAGAACGGCACAGTGGGCGGTCGTCATCGGGTTCGCCCAGCATCCTGCACGCACTCGCAGGTGGGGGACCCGCGTCGCACCACCTCTTGTACCTCGTTTCTGCCGTTTTCGCCATCTGCCTCAACCTGTTACGCTGCTCACCGATGTTTGACCGCCGCCCCATCATGTAGACGCGCGTCCCATCGGAGATGAGGCGGTCAACGTCGTTGTGGGACAGGTTGTCTTTGATCCACTGGTTGAGGCCCTGCAGGTGCGCCAGATCGCTGGCCTCGGCTCCGCCTTTGCCTGTGGCGCCTACAGAAGTGCTGCATTGCCAACAGATGTCACAAAGAGTCCCATCACTGGTAACGATTCCCAAAGACAGGAAACGACTGCAGCTCTGGCATCGATGGGCTATCACGCTGGAGATCCTCGGGGGCCCCGGACGAAACCAGATCCCCAAGGGTGCCCCAGCGGGTGTTGCCACCGGCTCCAGAAGCAAGGGAATGACCTATCTGGTTCATAGCCTCACGATTGAGCTCAGCGGTGGCTCGGGAAGCGACCGATCGTCCGATTCCCTCGATCTCGGTCAGCGATAACCGATCTCCCCGCAGCCCCGTGCACTTGATGGAGCCGATGTCCGTGATGTTCATGTGGCCACAGGTTCTGGCCAAGTCCGCACGAATGCGCGTGGCCTCTGCCTGCAGGGTAGTCTCGTTGTCACCCACGGTGCGGTCGATGTTCTGCTGCTCGGCTAGGACCTGTACCATCGTCTCTTGATCTGGTGCGGCCGAAGCAACGCTACCTGGGTCCCGTGTCATGTCGATTGAAGCATCCTGAGTGGCAGCGCCTGGATCGTCCTGGCCAGGCGCAGCAGGTGTTGCCACCGGCTCCTCCCTTACGGGGAAGCCTGGAGCTCCATGTCTTGCATCCTGTGAAGAGTAATCGAAACGCTGTGAGAGCGGGGTGATTGTTATTGATGGAAGCATTGGAAAGCTGTTTCAACGCATCGATGCCCTCCGGCAGGAAGTTCTGGTATACTTTATAGATATTTTGGAAGATCCCTGTAGTGGTTCCCTGCACGGATTAAGGGTCGAGAAAACGTAGCATCTTCTTGAAGAAGTGCTCTGCGCTGCATATTGGCAGTTCCCGTGCCCAAGTATGGGTATGGTTGCAATGTATCTTGCATGTCTCCGACTCGGTCCCAAATCGAAACTGGAATCGCAGATGCGATTCGATCTTGTCCACTACTGGATTAGTCGTAGGTACGATACGACTCGCAGACACGACACGATCGCATACGAATATGCTGGGACCGCCGTGTATCTCGATTACCTGGTTGAGTTGGAACATCGGTGATTCCACCAATGCTGCTGATGTCCAGTAATACACCATGTGGTCATCCGGTTCACGAACCCAGTTGTCGGGGTCTTGTGGACGATGCTCTCGATCCGTAAGAATATTCTCTGGCGGGTCGATAATGCTGTCGAGGATGGAGGACCCAGAGTCCTCATCTGCATGGATCTCGGCTGTCATCTCGGCTCGCATGGTGTCGTTGTCTGCCTTTTGATCCGCAGCCAATGCTATGTCAGAGATGTCGACGATGACGGTTAATCGATCATCGGTGATATGTGCCGCCTGTTGTCGGTTTCCGTCGTCGACCTCCATGGGAACTTCAGCAGGTGTCGCCGCCGGCTCCTGGTCGGATCCTGGCGTCCGAGGAGCGGGGCGTCTGGGCGGCGCGCGTGGAGCACGCACTCGCTGAAGAGTCGGGAGTCCGAGGTATGGTAGATCACCCGATTGAGCGCGCTCCTCAATCTGAGCACTGCATGGTGCTGGTCCCCCCGTTGCTATATCCAGGTGGGCATCGTCGATTTTATCAGCATGCACTGGCATAGCGAAAAAGACTCCCTTGAGGGGTAATTTTTGTCACAATACCAGATGTTGACCCATCGTAACCCGTAGTTGAGGATGAGTACCTTTGCCGCAAAGAACTTCTCAAAAACTCTGAAAAGTATGACGGGGCCGTATATGTGGCCCTTGTTCATGCGGACTCTGGTGTTGTAGTCACCCTTGGGGTAGTGGTTGTCGTGATGGTAGCAATTGATACGACCCCAATGTTTAACGATAATGAAATCTCCCATGCGGACGTCATTGAAAATGAGACGTCGATCCCAATCTCTCTGCGTAATATTTGCAGTGATGGGCCTGAAGGCCTCTCTGCAGCATGACATTGCAACCAGCCAGCTCATGTCTTGAATGTTGCGTACACTCTTGCTGACCATGGCACGGACAATAGCCTCCTCATCGAAGGCGTCGGTGTCGGCCATCTCATCAGCTGAGTTACCAAGCGCATCAGTCACGGCGGCATGGCCAGCAGGGGCCGCCCCCAGCGAGGGAGCGATGGGTTGCTGTGCCAACGACGCTGAAGCGGACTGGGGATATCTGATCTGCAGAGGCTGTGCCGACGTAGCCGTGGCGCATGCCTTTGCAACAGGTGTTGCCGTCGGCGCAGGTTGATATGCGTCGGGCGGCAATGGTGGAGCAATCCAAAGA